TTTCTTTCTTTCTTTCTTTCTTTCTTTCTTTCTTTCTTTCTTTCTTTCTTTCTTTCTTTCTTTCTTTCTTTCTTTCTTCTTTTCTTTTCTTTTCTTTTCTTTTCTTTTCTTTTCTTTTCTTTTCTTTTATCTTATGATTCAGGGTAATCGGTTGTAAGAGTATAGCAAGGCGTTCCGAGCTATGATAAGGTGGTTTGGTAGTTAGGAACATGAACTTGGATTCAGATAGCTGAGGTTTTCTCTTTGGTTAGTTAGGCACAGTGTGGAGTTTGTGTTGAGACATAGAAACTCTAGCTGCTTCATGAGGCCCCTCTGCTCCTGTTCTGAAAGCCGCTCACCCCTGAAGGGTGATATCGTTGTAGACATAGTCACAGCAGTGTAGGTTGCTTCTCCCCGTCCTCCAGTTAACTGGAATCAGCCGTAGCAGAGGTAGTGTTTTTTGAGCAGTGGGATTTGAGGTCTCGTTCTGCCACTAGCTCTGGGGTTGGGGGCAAGTTTGCTTGGCCTTCCTGAACCTCATTTTTCTCAACGTGAGAAGCCAGGAAAATTATAGTGATACAGCTAAGGTACCTGGGCTGGTGAGAGGGCTCAGTGAATTTGGCGGTGCCTGCCGTCAAGCCTGACGTCTGAGTTCAGTCCCTGGACCTCTTGAGCATGGATGGAGAGAAGCAACTCCCACCATTGTCTTCTGACCTCTCCCTTTGTGCCTTGGCTGATGTTCACGTGCATTGCATACAAGCAAATCAAGTCTTGTTCTGAGACTGGCCTGGAACTTGATGCGTAGATCAGGTAGCTCTCACATCCACTGCCTCCACCTCCAAAGTACTGGTGTTAAGGTCCGCGCCCCCATACCTGGCTAGTGTAGGTCGTTCTTTCAAAGTTAGAAATAAAATCTGATGACTGGATACCCTGCTCTGTGGCATTTAAGTAAGATGTGTTCGTAAAGTTGATGACCTACTTTTTCATTGACTTATCTCCAATAACCGGAGTTTAGAGGTCTCCCTCTCCCTCTCCCTCAGAGTTGTTAGGCTGCTGCACTGTGAGCTTGTAAAAGGTGAGGCGATGAGCGCCCCTGGGAGCCCTGACTAAGCACCCAGTGCTCAGAAGCATTTACCACTTCGTGTCTGTGAGTGAATTATTTCAGAAGCGAGAGCACGTTGCCAGTTGCTTTAATTGCGTGCTTCATTCTGGCCGTTTAAACCGCTTCATGGTGTAACCCTGCACTCAGCTCTCTTGGGTGTTAGTGGGTGCTTCTCATTCTTTAAATGCAACTTGGGTGATCCTTTTTTTTCCCCCTAAAAGGATCTTTTTTACTTACATATATTCAAGATACCGTG